GCCCTCCCATCGTGCCCAAGCCGGATCCCGCAGGGAAGCGCAGCCTTCCTGGAGCAAACTGGGAACCCTTTGACTTCCCAGGGAGGAAGAGAGTGTGCAGCCCTGATTAGGAAAGGATTTCACAGCTTTCCTTGGCACCTCAGCTGCTCTGAACCTTTCCCAGCTGCAGCCTCCCCCAGCCACCAGCAGATCCACTGGGCACCCAGAGCCAGGACAGACCACTCAGTGCGTGGCCTGACTCCCCTCGAGACCCCTCAGTGCCCCCCAAGTCCCCAGCAAGGGGGGAGGAGGCTCCACACAGGCTCTGAGCTTGGGTGCCATGTCCCACCCGGGTGCCTGGAGGACCCCACAGCCCACCCCAGCAGCCCCTCAGCACCAATGACATTGGCACATACCTGCACCTCCCGAGTGTGGTAGGCAATGATGAGGCCCAGCAGGATGACTGTGGAGAGGCTGATAAGGCATTTCAGGGCCAGGGAGAACATGGAGTCCTGTAGGGGGACAAGGAAGGGCATTAGGGGGTATGTGGTTGTGGGTCACTGCTGGCACTGGACTCCACACCCCCAGGAAGATGTTGCCCCCCAACACCTGTATCCCTCCCTCGATGGCATTTTGGCCACCTCAGCTCCCGCGCTGAGCAGTTTGGGCACCAAGTAGTGAGGGCACCATCAGCATCAGTGGCACCTCCAGCATCACCAACACCATTGGTACCACCAGCACCGTGAGCCCTTTCTCCAAAACTCATTTTTAATCCAATTCTGCAGTTCCCAGCCTCCTCCCACTGGGATGTGTGACACCAGCATCCTGGCCTCATCCAGCCTGAGCCCAATATGATGCCACCCAAACAACTGATCCTCATTAGATCCTCCAGATAATTGGCCTTATGTAAATTCAACCAGCCCCTGATCCATTGATGGCCAAAGTGATAGGTCCTCAGGATGCCACTTGGAAAAGCAGGATTCACCGTGCCCTTTGGACACATCATGCAGGTACCAGCCACAACCCAGCCCCACTGGTGCCAGGGTTGACAGCCACTCACCAAGGTGTTATATCCAAACCGATCTGCTTCGCTGCTGTACCCATCCCACACCTCCAGCCTATCCCCAGCACACCCAGCCCTGGCACACTCATGGCATACTGAGACCCGGCGTGCTGGTGGCACACCATCCTTGGCTCCCTGGTGTGCTGGGCTGCCTTCAGCCCCACTCCTCTCCCTCTCCTCGGTGTTCCCTGTCTCCATGGGGTGTTTGCAGGCGGAGAAGGGACTATTTGCTGCGGAGGCGTCGGCGCATTGTTAACGACTTGGCTCGGGCTGCGCAATTGTGTGGATATAATGGCTGGTGCTGAGAGAAGTGCTGGGACCAAACACTGGTTATTAATAGGCAAACTCCGGGGCAGCATCGTGCCAAGGAGGCTCTGGCCAGACCTTTCTCAGCACCACCAGCCCTGCCAGACACATGGACAGCCATCGGCCCACCCGGCAAGTGTTACCTACTATGTTTACCTCCTGCCAGTGCCAGATCTGAAGAGACCCAGCAGCAAGAGCCATTCCTGAATCCCATGCTTGCAGCAAACAACATGGGGTCTTGGCAGAAGTGGGGCAAGACCTTGGCACCCCTGGCACATATCCTGCTGCACCATGTGGGGGTCAGGACGCTTCGCCCCGGCGGTGCCGCGTGGGTGGTGGAAGCAGAAGTGCTGTCCCGTGGGAAGGAGAAGTCCTGTCCTGCTCACACTCAGGAAAACCCTAGGCTCACTTCCTCTGTCAGCCCTCCAGCTGGGCAGCATGTGCTGGTGTGACTGGGCCATGGGGCAGAGCTGGAGCTGGGCCAGCACCTGCAGCACTGCCATCCTTGTCTGCACACCAGCAGCCAGCCCCGACCGTGAGCACTCCCTCCCTCGTGGCTCTGTCCCTGCTGATGAGCTTTAGCTTCCCGTGGGGGCTCCTGGGGGGATTTAGCCACAGTCACCCGTTGCTCCAGCTCCAGCCTGGGGGTGCAAAGGGGCAGGGACTGCCCTGTACCCCGCGGTTGTTGGCAGGAGCGGTGGCACCAAAGCGGGG